GAAATTTTGATAATTTTTGGATCCGTTTGATAATTTTAATTTATTAAGTGCAATTATAGAATTTTAATTGATATAAATTAAATTTGAGATGTAATCGCATAAAATAATGGAATCATATTCAGACAAAATATCATATATATATATATATATATATATATATATATTGTTGAGTCAATTTGACAAGGTATTTTTAAAGTACATCGAACAAAAAAAGGAAAACACGTTATGAAAAACAAGGAAATGAAAAATAACTAATATATTTGCCGAATGCCCCAAACCCTCGACACTCGGGCAAAGCCATCTTTGTCGAGTGTCCTAGCTCCACACTCGCAAACTCAACACTTTATAAACTTAAAGAAATATGTTCCGCCACGCCGATCCGTGTCTCCAAAATCGAGCTCTCCTATTGACCAAAACTCCTCTCCTGGATCCTCCCTCTTATCCCTTCCGCCTCCCTCTCTCCTTATCCATTCCTCTCACCTCATCTTCCAAGGGGCAGGGCGGGGAGGGCAGCAAGGCCGGGGGATACCGGGTCGGCGGGGGCGGCGCATGGCGGCAGGAGACGGCCACGGTCGGGGCGCAGGTGGGGGGGTGGTGGCGTGGCGCAGTAAGGCAGAAGCGGGGCGGGACCTGGTCGGCGGTGGGCGGCGCGCACGACGACAGAGGCGCCCAAGGCCGTGCTGCGCTGGGCGGCAAAGGGGGCGGTGGCCGGTCGGCCGGAGCCGAGGCTATGGCGGCGCGGGCAGGGCGGCGCGGCGGCGGCGCGACGGCACGCTCTTGGTAGGGCGCGCGGCGGCTGGATCGGGAGTGACCGAAAGGTGGGAGCGCGGGAACAAAGAAGCCCAGAACACTAGGACATAGCGGCGCTTTAGGCATTCCGTGGTCGTTGTCGCGCAAGGCGCGGGCGCGCACTTGTTGGACGCCGAGCGCCACCGTGCCGACGCACGCGCCGGGGATGGGCACGGCGGCGAAAGCGGTTTTTTATTTTCGCAAAAACCATTGTTTGCCGAGTTTTTATTCCGTCGACACTCGCAAACAAGACATATTTGCCGAGTGCTTATGCCATTAGACACTCAGCAAACGCGCCATGAACGTCTTCTCGCCGTCACTTTTTTTTGCTGAGTGTCGGTTTTAGCACTCGCAAAGTCTTTGCCGAGTGCCCGATAAAAAACACTCAACAAAGAAATGTTTGCCTACTGCGGTATCGCCGAAAGTGCCGTTTGTCGAGTGTAATACTCGCAAAACCTTTGCCGAAAGTGTTTTTGGGCTTCACCGTGTGCCGTGGGCATACGACAAACTTCCAGATTTTGGTTGTGATGCCGTGGGGCACCAGCGCGTGCGGCCTCGCTTGTGGCCGCGCTGTTGGGGAGCTCAGGCGCCGAGGCCACGTACCACTCAAACTCTCAAAGTTACGAGTACCTACTTTTATAATCATCGTCGTCGCCATCGTAATGTTATGATCATATATGCATATGCTTTCAAGTTTCAAGTTACTACTACTACTCTTTCGGGCCGGGGGTCAAAAGGTTGGGGAAGAGGGCAGCAACATCACTGGCTGGCTGTCCGCGGGATCGAGGCGCTTTGGAATCCTCCACTGGGCAGGCAGGGCACACGATTCGCTGGTTCGAGCGGTAAATAGATCGGGGCAAGCGATCGAAAGCATCTTTTTGACCTCGCCGACCCTCGCCGCCGAGGGCCGACAAACGAGGCGGGCGCGCAACTTGGCCAGTGGCTAGTTGCTAGTATAGATGGCAACGGGACCGATCCCCGTGGGAAATTCCTCTATTAGGGGAAGGATGGAGTCAATTTATTCCCCACGGGGATGTAATCGGTAGAAAAACAATCCCCATCGGGGTTGGCGGAACGGGATGGGAACCCATCCCCCGACCCCGATCCCCGTAAACCCGCCCCGAATATCACAGGTTCAGACACAACTCAAATCGGGCCACGAAGGCCTAGCACCGGCTTGAGTATATATGCAAAATCTAACCCTAATCCCTCAGCCCTTCTCAGTCCCCCAGCCCCCAGCCCCCCACTCGGCTACTCCCGCAGCCGCTAGAGCACCAAGTGCGGACGCCGCCAGCGGTTCAGACGTGATTCACGCCATCGCGAGAGCGCTAGCGCAGCGTCTGCGCCGCCACGCCGACCACGCCTCGAGAGTCCCAGCCAGTGAGCCTGAGTCATCTGCCCTCGGCGTGCAGGATGCCCTGTGCTTATAGTGACGACGCAGGAGATTAGCTACCGCATTGCTGCTCGTACTTTGGTCTGCATGGAAGATGAATCTTGCTTCTCCACTCCAGTTTCTCATCCTAGTTGGGGACAGCAGAAGGTAGAAGGTGGTTCTTGCCTGACACAAGCACAGATCCGCATCCACGCAAGCACTAGTGTACTTGTTAGATTTTTTTCAGTTTATTTGCAATTTTGGTAATCAAGGGAGCTCTGATTTATTTGCAATTTGGGTAAGCAAGGGAGCTGTGATTTATAAACTAAGCAATCTTATTTCATGTTGTTGCAAGATGCATTTTGTACTTGACATTTCTTTTTCTGGATCGTTGTTTCGAGCACTTGTTTTTGCGGGGACGGGGACCCCGTCAGGGATGCTTTCCCTGCTCGGGTTGAGGGACGGGGAGAGAACATGCCCCGTGAGCTTTGACGGGGACGGGGACGGGAAAAGTTTCCCCTGCCGAGACGGGGATGGGAGAGCTATACACGACGGGGAATTCCCCGATGCCAACTTTAGTTGCTAGCACATGGATCGACCAATTTTTTGTGACCGCAGCGGAGACTTTTGCACTTTTGCACGATAGGAGTATATATAGTACGACGATGCTCTGCTCTCAAACAGACACAGTCATGGCTCCATCGATCGAGATCTCTCTACGGTCGCTCTCCCCGTCCATATATATATATATATATATATATATATATATATATATATAGAGAGAGAGAGAGAGAGAGAGAGTTCTGTAGCTGGCCGTAGAATAAGTTATTCTGTGACCACTTTGAGTTATCATAATTACTATACTAATTTACGAGATTATGATAACTTTCTCATAAGTGATTTACTATAACATTATGGTAAATATCATCTTGAATTATAATAACCCATGTATCGTAAATGTGTATTGTCATTATCGTAAATTGGTACAACCATTATCGTAAAACAAGGTGGCTATAGAATAATTTATTCTGTAGCCACTTTGAGTTACAATAATTACTATGTTAATTTACGAGATTATAGTAACACATTACTAAGTGGTTTACTATAACGTTATAGTAAATATTTCCATGTGTTATAGTAACCCAACTATCATAAATATGTATTGACATTATCGTAAATTAGTATATAAAATTATCGTAAATGGAGGTGACTACAGAATAACTTATTTTGTAGCTGACTACTGAATATACTCTCCCTATAAATTAGTATATAAAATTATCGTAAATGGAGGTGCCTACAGAATAACTTATTTTGTAGCTGGCTACTGAATATACTCTCCCTATATATCGTAAATGGAGGTGGCTACAGAATAATTTATTTTGTAGCTAGCTACTGAATATACTCTCCTATATAAGTATATTAAGTAGCCACTACAAAAAATAAGTTATTCTCAGAGCCACCTCCATTTACTTATAATTTTATATACTAATTTACGATAATATCAATATATATATTTACGATAGTTGAGTTAATATAACACATGGGGATATTTATCATAACGTTATAGTAAACCACCTAGTAAGGTGTTACTATAATCTCGTAAATTAACATAGTAATTATCGTAACTCAAAGCGTCTACAGAATAAGTTATTTTGTAGCTAGCTACATGATATATATATATATATATATATATATATATATATATATATATATATATATATATATATATATATATATATATAAATAATACGACGGTCGAGTAGTAGTCCTATGAATAAAGTCAATGGCGTAGCGTATCCTCTCCATGGATCCTACACACGTCAGCAGTAGACTCTAGACTGAGACGCACGTATATAATTGCATATCGATATACATCCATCCGATACGATAGGCAAGAAAGACCAGTAGACAATGCGGTGCGCCGTCTCAGAAGCCTCCAACGCGCCTGATCCGGCCAAGATCCGCACGGGATCCCGCCCCTGCCTCCGGGGCTTAAAAAGGAAACGGGGACGGGCAAAGCCCAGTCGGTGAGGCGGCCGTATAAACAGACGGGAGCGGAGCTAGCCAATCCTCGCCGCGCTCAGCGTCTGGTCTCACAGCGGCGCCTGATCCTGCCGCGCGATCTTCGTCTGCCGTGGGCGGATGCGGCAGCCAAGAAAACAAATCGTTTGCCCACGAACGCACGCACGGTCAGTCGGGCGGCCTGATCCGGTGAATCTAAACGACGGAAAATCGGGCAAGGGAAACGTTTCTTATTCGATCTGGTGAGGAGGTCATCAGGCCCGGTCAGACGATCACGTGTCCAGGACTCAAGCTCGCGTATGCGTATAATCCGATGGAAAATGAAGAGAACCATCAACCATGCGAAATGCTCTGCTGTGCTTGCGTGGCTTCCCTTGCATGTTTGTCGCCGTCGCCCCGTCGCGGCGTTGCAACTTGCAACGGGAGCAGAAGCCCCGGGACGCGCCGCGCGCGCTTTATTTGGTCACGTGGTGGCGAGCGCTGGGAGGGGGAGATTTTGTGCCGAGAGAAGAGATATGATTCCAGACGACATGATCTTGGCTAGTACTAGTAGACGGTGATATCGATCGCGACGGCCGAAATCTCAGGACCCATCCCGCGCAAATATATCCGCTTGGGTATCCGCGGCGGCCATGACGGCGACCGGAGGCTGGCTGCCTGGCTGGCTCCTATTTAGACGCTTGTGGTCAGTCAGGCCCGCAGCAGCCCGCTCATTTCAGCTGCAGCAGCAACAAGCTGAGCCTACTAGTACCTGCTGTGCGCCGGCACGCGCGCGCGCGTCGTAGTTGGTCTCTGTAGGGCCTCGGGCGGCCACGCAATGGAGAGGAGGGCGCACGCGATGCTGTTCCCGTTCCCGTGCTCGGGCCACATCAACCCCACGCTGAAGCTGGCGGAGCTGCTGCACTCGCGCGGGGTCTACGTCACCTTCGTCAACACGGAGCACAACCACGAGCGGCTACGGCGGCGGACGGGGACGGCGGCGGCGGCGGCAGAGGGCGGCGGGCTGCGGGGGCGGGAGGGGTTCCGGTTCGAGGCGGTTCCCGACGGGCTGTCGGAGGAGGACCGCGTCGCGCCCGACAGGACCGTCAGGCTGTACCTGTCGCTGCGGAGGAGCTGCGGCCCGCCGCTGGTGGAGCTGGCGCGGCGGCTCGGGGATCGCGACGGCGGCGTGCCGCCCGTCACCTGCGTCGTCCTCAGCGGCCTCGTCAGCTTCGCGCTGGCGGCCGCGGAGGAGCTCGGCGTGCCGGCGTTCGTGCTCTGGGGCACCAGCGCGTGCGGCTTCGTTGGCACGCTCCGGCTACGGGAGCTCCGGCAGCGGGGCTACACGCCGCTCAAAGGTCCGTTTCAGTTTCTACGGTCGGTGATCAATTCGTCGTGTGTTGAGTTGCACACTTGTATGTGCTTGAAGATTGTTACTCGTATATTTGATTGCATGATCGATGCATCATGCATGCATGCCTTTCCTTTTTGTTTGTCGCTTTAGATAGATGATCAATAATCACGATCCTAATTCGCATGCATGCTTCTGTTTCTTTGCATGGCATGGCAATGGCAGACGAGAGCTACCTGACGAACGGGTACCTGGACACGCCCATCGACTGGATCGCCGGGATGCCGCCGGTGCGGCTCGGCGACATCTCCAGCTTCGTGCGGACGCTGGACCCGCAATGCTTCGGGCTGCGCGTGGAGGAAGACGAGGCGAACAGCTGCGCCAGGTCCCGGGGTCTCATCCTCAACACGTTCGAGGACCTCGAGTCGGACGTCCTCGACGCGCTCAGGGACGAGTTCCCGCGGGTGTACACCATCGGTCCCCTGGCCGCCGCCATGCACCGCACGCAGCAGGTGCAGCAGTGCCACGGCCACGGCAACGCGGGGCTGAGCCTGTGGGAGGAGGACTCCAAGTGCATGGCGTGGCTGGACGCCCAGGCGGACGGGTCGGTCCTGTACGTCAGCTTCGGCTCCCTGGCCGTGCTGTCACTGGAGCAGCTATCGGAGCTCGCCTGGGGCCTCGCGGCCAGCAACCGGCCGTTCCTCTGGGCGGTGCGCCCGGGCCTCGTGGTCGGCGACCGCGGCGCCGACGCGCTGCCGGAGGACTTCCTCGCCGAGACCAGGGGCCGATGCTTCATCGCCGAGTGGTGCGCGCAGGAGCAGGTCCTCCGGCACCGCGCCGTGGGCGGGTTCCTGACGCACAGCGGCTGGAACTCCACGACGGAGAGCATCTGGTCGGGCGTGCCGATGCTCTGCTGGCCCGGGTTTGCCGACCAGTACATCAACTGCCGGTACGCGTGCGAAGAGTGGGGCATCGGGCTGCGCCTGGAAGAGACGCTGCGGCGGGAGCAGGTCACGGCCCACGTCGAGGAGCTGATGGGCGGCGACACCGACAGGGCCAGGGAAATGCGGCGCTGCGCCGCCGAGTGGAAGGCCAAGGCTGAGGCCGCCACGGCGCCCGGTGGGTCGTCCTACGAGAGCCTCGACAGGCTGGTGGAGGAGCTGCGGCTCGGGGAGGCGGCGGACGCCGAGGCCGAGCTCGCCACGGCCGCGCCGCCGCAGGGCCGGTGATCGGTTGGTGGACGTCTCCTTCCGTCGTCTCCATGTCGTCAGCTCTACAGGAGTTGCTGAACAAGAGTTCTTCAGTGACACACACAAGAAAGCAGCAGTGCCTGGTTTCGTACTTGCGGTCAATGCGGTGTCTCGTTTCAACCACGCAGAAATACAGTAGTCGTAATTTGTATCGTGGCAGTTGGTTGCTTTTGTCTCAACGTGCACGTCGTTAGTGGACGAATTATGTCAATTTGATTGATTAGTGCATGCAGTCCTTCCAAAACCATGTGCCGATGCGCGGGGACATGGTCTGTACTTATTGGCAGGCGACTTGCCTAATTTCAGGTGAGCTCCTGTCTCTGACTCTCTGGTCACTTGGTCAGCAACAGCCTGCAAATCCGTCGTCGTTGGGCTTGGCCGGCCATGGCACCGTTTAATAACACCCCGGGCGCCTGAGCGTGGTCGGCCGGTTGAACTACCGAACGCCCTACTCATGCGCTCGTACAGCCGTACTTCGCCGGGCAAAAGCAGCTGTGAGAGTGAAACTGACACGATCTCGTCACGGAACAGCCCGGCTACTACACGTGTTTGCTCGTACTAAACAAACGGAATTTCCGGTCGACGGGCAACCATCAATCATAAGTCATAACTAAGCTCCCGACCTGCCGCTTACAATATACCTTGGGCTCTGACCGACCCCGCCGCCGGCCGGTCGCTTTCGGGCACCTCACCACCATGACCGATCCGCTTCTCTGGCCGGTACGAAAGCAACACCCGTTACGCTTCTTTACCAGAAACGTGGTGTCGTGGTCCTGGCCCCGGGAGAACGAAGGTGTCGGCTGTCCGCGGCCGCCCCGGGACACGTCTACGTGGCTGGCGGCGCTGGTGCGGCCCAGTTTTTGCGCGGCCAAGTAGCGCCGCTAGCCGCCTCAGGAGCCAGGACTCACTCGTTCGTCCGCCGCTCGGCAAGTCAAAGAAGCTTCGTGAGCGAGTGGCATACGGAACCAAGGGGCCCAGGGGCCGCCCGAGGTTCTCTCGGCGACGACATTCCGGCCCACGCGTGCGGCTTCTGTCCCGCGAGCCGCGACGTGTGTGAGCCAGGCAGCCGGCGCCAGGCCCAGTGGTTGGGTGCCTAGCATTCGCTCGCAGCTGATGGTGGGTGCACCCTGCGCGGCTGCGCCCCCATTGAGGAGTTTGTTCTGTGGGCTTTCTATATCTTTCGCGCGAATCATGTCAGTTCAGCGTCTTCTGAGCGGCACTGCTATTCGGCGAACGTTCACCAGATTCTTATACGGCGAACGATTGAACAGCTCCCACTAGATTTCATTTTAGAAAAAAAATTAGATCCATTTATTTCCCCTTTTGGCATGCAACATTCGATTTCTGTCTGTTCGCACGTGCCCGGATGTGTGTTGGTCTCGAGCGGACCGCTCTTCTTCTCTTTAGGCCGCTGATGTGGTCACATGACGTAACCCTAAAACTGTAAAACATTTATTTGAAAATGCTATAACTTCTGAACGGTGTATCAATTTTCAATTCCATCTGTACCGGTGTGTTCTACGTGACGAGACGAACAAAACTAGATCCCACTTATATATGTTTTAAAGAATTTTTTCTAGTAGTAATTTATATATATTAACTTATAATATACAACTTATACCTAAAAATTATGAAACCTAACTTATATATAAAAGTTATTAAACAAAATAAACGAATTAACTTATAACTTGTGCTGAAAATTTGAAAACACAAAAGTTATGAAAACATAACTTATGTACTAAAGTTATAAAACACAACTTATGTTTATAAGTTATTCTATAATTTATGTATGTAAGTTATTCTATACAACTTGTTAACGCTGTCCAATAAGTTCTGATAAAAAGTTATGCTAATAAATTCTGCTCTACAAAATGTTATATTGTAAAAGTTGTGATATATAAGTTGTGACAATAAGTTATGCATAAAAGTTATGCGTATAACTTAGAAACTTTAAAAAAAAGAAAAGTTATGTGTATGCTCGTAAAAAAGAGGAAAGTTATGTTTATAACTTGCTTGTACTCCCTCTGTCCAAAAAACATACAATTCTAATACAGTGTCATGGTTTAGTATCATAAGTTAATTAATTATAAATAAAAAATTATCAATATTTATGATATCAAATAAATATTAATTATGAAATGTATTTTCTTAATAAATTAATTTAGAGTCATAAATGTAAATAATATTCACTAGAAATTTGGTCAAACATAAACTACTTTTGTCGGCACGCAACTCATTGTTGCATGTTTTCTTGAATAGAGGGAGTATAACTTAGATATATAACTTGATGAATGACTCAAATGTAAAATTGAACATATAAGTTATATTCAATAACTTAGATGTATAAAGTTATATAACTTGATGAATGACTCAGATGTAAAGTTGGACATATAAGTTATATTTAAGAACTTAGATGTATAAATTGACATCATAATGTATTAGCAGAAATGTGAAACTGCGTACGAAATAACTTATATAAAAAATAAAAAGGTAAAATAAAAAAAATAAAAAAAAAGAGAAAGATGGATGCACGTACAGTTAACATGTCAGCGCGTGTTCGACTCAAAACATGTCAACTCTACGTAATTGAATCAGCCACGGGAGAACCGTAGGCCGGAAAGCCTCCGTATGGCTGGCGCACATGTAGGATCGTTCGCTGGACTAAGAACGGAAGAACGTTCGTGGAAATGGAATTAGGCTAATCCGGCGCCTGCTTCACCCGATACTCATGGGCACGTGGCTACATTGGTTTCTCGCCATTTTTGCTTGTGATTTGACTGATTTCGGTGCTGACATAAGAGCACTTCAGTCTTCTTCGTACGTGCTCCCTTCCTTCCTACAGGAGAGTCGCTATCAAATTGGAATTTAGTCAAACTTTATTAAAAAAATTGACTGGATTTATAGAAAATATTAGTAAAAATTTGTATCACCAATAAATTTATTATAAAAATATATTTCACGAGTTATCTAAAGATACAAAATTATACATCATAAATATTAAAATTTTCTTATATATATTTAGTCAAAGTTAAAAAAAATATTTAGCTTTTTAGAAAGTAAGAATGACACTTTACGGAACAGAGGGAGTAGATCACGCCCGTCACCCTGACCAATCCACGGCTACCCCCCGACTAAAACAGTTTTGATTCTACCAGGAAACGGTAGCGTGGCGAACGCATAAAATGCGAAACATTTCAAGCCTGAAAACGATTCACGTTTTCTTCTTTGGAACTCGAAACTTCGGAAGGCTAGTTTCGCATGGATTCTACATTTGCTAATCTATATAAATAATGCCCCTCAAAAAAATAATCTATATAAATAATAATACTTTTTTCAGTTATAATCCTTTTTAGTGTAACAAGTTAAAAGTGGTTGTATTGAAGTTGTTCTTCGCCCAAGAAAGTTAAGATTTTTTTGAAGCATATTTCATTTATATGATTTTTATAACAAAATACTCTTTCACGAATCTGAATCCAAGCTAACATCCAAACAAATTCATCAAAGTGATTCTGATTTTTCACCCGAAACATTTTTAGAGAGAATCTAGATCCGGAACGTTTCTACGAGAAGCTGAATCCCTGTCAAACACACTCTAAGCCAAACCATAGGAGGCCACACTTGGCCGACAACCAACCTTAGCCAGCCACAGCCGCTTTCAGCTAGCCAGCAGCTGGCCACGGCTAAGCCACAACCAAGCAGGAACAGGCCAACGGTGGCCAATCGGCCATAGCCCACGCAAGGCGGCTACCGTGGTCGACCAGTGGTGGCTGAGGTTACTAGAGGCCTCCAAGCTTGGCTAGGGCATGCCTGGAAGAGGTTAGGACAAAGAAACGTCATGCCTGGAATGGGGTGTTCCGCGCCGAATAGTTCCCACGGTATACAAATTTGTGAAGATATTGTCTGGCTGGGAATAGTTCTCATGTAACCGAACTGCCCCTTACCCAGTTTCATTACAACTTTACACCCTGTTGGTTTAGATATAAGAACACGCCAACCCAACCATCACACACTATATACATACGCCGAGTACACAAACACAGGCGCATTATCACTGTATCACCCACTGACGGTGACGTATGCAAGACACGGCGCGCCGGCCCGTCCCTTCCTTCAAACCAAGGTGGCGCAGGCACCCGTGTCGGGGTCGTACAGCGCGGGGAGCAGGTACTTCCTCCCGCGCGCCCCGTTGGCGTTGTAGCTGGCACCCGTCGCCGCGTCCACCAGCAGCTGCCCGGCGTACCCGGGGTACGCGCCCGCGCCGTAGACGCCCGCGCACGCCGTGGCGGCCTCCAGCGGCGCGCCGCGGTCGCCCTGGTAGAACCCGTCCCCGAACGGGTTGGTCACGGCGCTGGCCACCATGCTGGCCACGCTGATCAGCGCGCCGTCCATGCCCACGTCCCCGTTCGGCGGCACCAGCGGCGGCGCCTGTGGCCCGTACGCCGGCTGGTGGAACGGCCACGCGCACTGGCCGGGGCACTGCGTGGCCGGGTTCCCGACCCACGCCCACGCGTACGCCGCCGCCGCCGCCGCGCGGGGCCGCGCCCGCGCGTCGTACGAGGACGACCCGTGGTGCCCGCACCGGCTCATGCAGAAGCCCTCCACCGCCACGTCCTGCGCCGTGAGCACCAGCGCGAGCCCGCCGCCCTTCGCCGTCGCGGGGCGTGCCGCGGCCGCCGCCGCCGCCAGCGCTGGGAGCTGGGCGAGCTTCAGGCTCTTCCCCAGCGAGCACCCTTCGTCGGAGACCTGGCCAGCCAGGACCACCCGAGTGATGCTCTTCTTGCCGCCGCCGTACGCGCCGCTCTTGCCGACGGCCGCCGCGTCCGCCTTCGATAGGTAGAGCCGGTCGATTGTGCCCCACCACTGGGAGACGGAAGGCGCGGGGGAGGACGGCGGCGCTCCCCGCCGCGGGGCGGAGAGGGAGTGGAGGAAGTCGGTGACGATGGCCTTCTGTGCGGGCGTGAAGCGGCCGTACCAGAGGACGGAGACGGGGATGTCGCCACTCAGCACGGCGCCGTCGTGGTACCTTAGGAGGTCGCTCGGCGGCGGCTTGTACAGCTCCATGAGCCTCCTGCTGGGGCTGGCCGCGGCTCCCGTGGTGTGCCGTGCCAAGCTGAGAAACGCCAGCAGAAGCAAGAACAGAGCGTGGTCCCCGAGGCGGAAGCTGCTGGAAGCGGCGGCCATTGCCTCGACTGGGAGTAGTCTCTAGACTAGCAAGTGGAGCACTAGTGCACTACTGGACTGGTGGTATATGGTCGTGTGGGTGTGGTCTAGAGGGGCCAGGAGCTGGCCTTTTTATAGGCCTGCCAATGTTTTTTTAAATTATTTTTTTCATTATAGACAAAAGAAGGGCTCACCCGCCATTGTTTAGTGATCACTGATAAGGAATTCAGGATCAGAACGACCTGCGCGTGTACGCCTACCCCGGGAAGGAGGGATGCACTTGTTCCTGGCGTTCAACTCCGGTTGACCGGAGATCAACTGGAATTTGGGGACAGCTAGATTGCCAATTGCCATGGGCATTGAGAGGGCAGCGACTCATGCCCGGTTCACTTGGCTGAGCGATAACTAAAAGTATTTTGGGTTGATTTATTGTGAGAGAAAAATACTATTTGTTAGTTAAAAAAATACGACTTATAAGCCAAACGAACAGGACGTCCAACCGTGATCAAAGGGACAAACTAGAAAGGACGCTTCGCACCAACAGCCCGCAGGTGAACGACTGATGAATCAGCATGTAGTCGTGATCTGTTCGGCTGGTATTAAAGCCGACTGATAAGCCGACTAAAGCTATTTTATTATAAAAGAAAAATACTATACATTCTAACTGATAAGCCAGCTCAAGTGAACAGACTGATTCTCGTGTTACGGAAACCTGTCCCAAACCACTGCTCCCCTTAGCGCTGCTGGGGCTCGGCACTTGAATGTTTGGCTCTTGGCGGTGCAGTCTTGGGTACCGTTTAGTTCCACTCCAAAATATCAAAATTTTCAAGATTTTTCGTCACATCAAATCTTTGAACGCATGTATGAAGCATTAAATATAAATAAAAAATAAAACTAATTACATAGTTTAGACGAAATTCACGAGACGAATCTTTTAAGTCTAATTAGACTATGATTGAACACTAATTATCAAATAACAATGAAAACTAAAAACTACTACAATATCATTTTGCCAAATTTTTCGGTATCTAAACGGGGCCTTGATTAAACATTAACTTGCCCTACCCTATCAGAATCTGGATGATAATGCAGGACGCGACAGGTTTCGCATCTCATTGGTGCAGTTTAAGGGCAGTGCCAATCGAAGAAATCGTGACTGAAATTGGCTGAAAATTTCTATTTTGACTGAATTATTGTGAGAGAAAAATACTCTTCCAACTAAAAAAAAATCAAATAAGTCGAATATGGGTAAGCCGAACAGAGCCTATAATATAACAGTTTAACACAGGATACCGAACCGAGAAACTACTTTTTCTGAAGGGAAGCTAGCTGACCTGGTTGTTGTTGGCTTGGTCATATCTCGGGCGGTGGCATCGTGATCGGTCAGATATGGTAGTAATCCAAGCAGCAAGTAGTAGACTTGGCCAGCTTAGCTCTAGCGCTGGACAGGGATTACTAGATTCTGAATCGAGCACGAGTGACTATTAGGTATTAGCATGTCAGTACGTGCCTCAGTTAAAATCCCTGCCGTAAAGTTTTAGGATATCATATCGGGTGTTAAATAAGAATGTTCGGATACTAATAAAAATTAAATTACAGAATTCGTCAGTAATCTGTGAGACGAATTTATTAAGTCTAATTAATCCGTTATTAGCACAAGTGTTACTATAACACCCATTGTCAAATGATGAACTAATTAGGCTTAAAAGATTCGTCTCGTAAATTAATCATAAACTATATAATTAATTATTTTTAGTCTATATTTAATATTACATGTATGTATCAAACATTTAATTAGATAGAAAGTAAATTTTAGGGTTAGAAGCTAAACACCACCTTACTATGGCAACGCAGTGACACTTATCCAAGATGCCCATCGGGATCGGGCATCCGATGGCAGATGCGGCTCCGACGGACACTCGCCAATCCGCGTGGCCACCTTATCTGTATGGGCATTTTTGCGTGCTTGGCGCGCGCGTCGCTGTCTATGCTGCTCTCTGAATAGTTGTGAGTCAGAGTCTCATTGATGTTGTAGCAACTTTTCTTTCATTGAAGCAGCAAGCGAAAATAATCCTGTAGATCATTCTTAGGCCCTGTTTCAGCTTCTCTGAATCTCGCTTATAAGTTGAGCAGGCTTATCTGATAAGCCACGATATAGAGAATCTGATGTCTGAATAAGCTGAGTGTTTGGCTATCCTGATTATTTCTGGTAGATTGTCTGTCCTGTATACCCCTGTACAGTAATAGTCCAAAATAACATCAATTTGGGTACATCGGTACGCCTTCATTTACTCTCTCTCTCTTGACTAGTCCAAGGATGCAAGGAAATAGACATGGAGGCACAGAGGGAACACGGACGGGAGGTGCAGGTGCTCGTGTTCGTCAGCTCGGCCGCCATGGACAGCTCGGCGAGCTTCACGAGACAGCGATTTCGGCCACCATTTCCAAATCCAAGAGCATGGGGAGGGAGAGGAGAGGTAGGGGATTCACGTAGGCTAGCTACCTCGGCCGATTGCAGCGCAGGGAAGGAGATCGACGGGTGCTCGGAAGAAGATGAGTGAGGAGTGGGTGGCTGCGGAGCTGAGCGGCTCGGCCGCCGTGAGGTCATCCATGGCGGGGATTGACCTCGTCGGAGCTCGCGTGGACCTCGTCGGAGCTCGCATGCTCCCTGCGCTCAGCTCCCTGGCCGCATGTACTCGACCGTGGTGGCCGCGCACCACCACCATCGCACGCATACGCATGCCACCACCGCACGCCAACACAGCACGCATCACCACCACCACATGTGGGCCGAGTGGTGGCTGACGGGAGCTCGTCCGGATGTGGCCGCCGGAGTTCTAGAAGGAGCTCGCGTGGTGGCCGACGGGGGCTCGGTCGGATGTGGCCGCCGGGGATCTGGCGAAGCTCGCGTGGTGGCCTCCGCTCGCCGGGGATCTAGCGGAGCTCGCGTCGTCGTCCTCCGCAGCGTCTCCATCGTCGTGGGCGTGGATGAGCGGCATCGTTAGCGTGGAGGAGCCAGGAGGGAGGAGGAGCGGCATCGACCGGGAGGTGACGAGATGCGAGATGGGGAGGCCGCGGCCGGGCTAGAGAGAGGCGGCGGCGGGGATGAAGAGAGGCGGCGGCGGTGGAGAAGAGCGAGCGTCGAGAGAGAGAGAGAGAGAGAGAGAGAGCGCTCAGGAGGATTGGCATCGAGAGAGAAACGCGGTCGCGATTTTGGAAAAGCGAGGTCGAGCTCGCGATTTCAGTAGCGTTGCGGGCGACCGGAGATCGCGGAAGCGCGTTCGCGATCAGGCCCAGATCGCAGGGCGTTTGTGCGGGATTATTTGCTTATTGGGCTCAGAAGCTGAAGAAACGCTGCCCCAAACAGGGCCTTAGGCTCTGGTTATCAAAAAAAATCTTAGGCTCCGTTCGGCTAATAGTTTCTACGGCTGATAAGTCAACTGAAACTGATTTGTTGTGAGACAAAAACACTATTTCATAGCTGATAATCCAAGCAGATAAGTTCGCCCTATTTAGAATGCACGAATTTTTCTTTTATGTTTTCTCGGTGAAATCGAACCAACCACTGTAAAATTCTTGCGTGCTACGAAATTCCTACGTTGGAAACAGACCCTTAAAATTTGTTTGATCCGGACTAGATTATATTAGTATGAACTATGGACGAGATTATACTATTGTGCATCATGGATCATAATAATCTAGAACATTGTTTTTTTTTGCGCAAGATCTAGAACGTTGTTTAGATACCTGATTATAAAGTTGGAATATTGTTAGCTGGGTGCAAATAACCTATATAATCTTGAAAAATAAGGTTTGAGAAAGATTATAGGATTACGATAATCCGATGGTCGTATGAATTTAACTGGAATCCAAACACACCTTTAATGATGGCAATGTGCTCTGTCTTTGACAAAAACCCAAACATTTCAGATAGTTGTCTCTGACGAATCCGCCGCTCCCGTCCTACGCCAGGTGCGAAGGCCTTCATCGGTCTCTTCGCCGGCGACGAGCACCCACCAGCAGGGCGACTTTGAGTATGTTAGACACGAGACAGGTGACCGAGGGGGCGACACCATAGGGGAAGGACTTCCCACCGGTGAGATGGCACCCGGAGTCACCGGTGAGGGAGAGAGGGACCCCTCACCGGGGTGGTGCACCGATCTCCTGCGAAGGGGAACGAATCAACCTGGTAGCGAAGGAGTTGCGACGTGGTTCTCTAAGAGAGTGACAAGTGGAAAGCAGCCCACCATGGCAGGTCTGGAGCCAAGGCCAGGGTTCTAGGGCCAAAACCCAGACCCGTGGGATAATGACGACGAAATACAAGACTTCTGGGGTCAGCTCTGGTTCGTTCCTAAATCCAAGCCCGATCTAAGAGAGACTAGAGTTAGGGCGGAGAAGAGGAGAGGGCTGGTGTGGATTCAGAGAGACCTTTGGACCACCAAATCCTTCGAGCCTTCAGATTGCTTCCCCATCGGTGAGAATGATTCGTGGGATGAGCCACCCTTGAAGCTGAATTTTGCAGAGTTTTTCTGGGGAGAGGAGAGGAATAGGAGTTTCACTGAAGTGGTGAAGACCATGGCCGGGCCTGGGAGTGGTCGCGGTTCGAGGCCGAGGAGCCCGGAGGACTGTGAGAGATGGGGTGCAGGAGGCGGTTGGAATAAATACCCTCAGATCCCGCTGCCGCCGCACTTCTTCAACCAACCTCCCCCCAGTATAGTTACTTCCCCAATCAACCTCCCCATCATCCACCGCAGTACCAACTTCCACCGCAGCACCGCCCGATGGAGGGACCAAGGCCTCACGGCGGGGGCCAGTAGGGCAGGGGCGTGGAAGGTTCTAGCCACCGCAAAGGCAAGCTCTAGTTTAGAATCAAGCCCTAGAACAGGCTCCAGTGTAGAATGTTCAGTCAGCTAAAGATGAGAAGGGCCCTGAGGTGGGAAACAATGTGGCTGAAAGTTCAGGTACTGCTCAAGACAAAAACCTTCAGGAAGTTTGCTTCAATTGTGGAGAGATAGGACACC